CGATCTGAATGTTGTGTAACTTGTAGCTATTCTTTGTAAACATTAAGAGTTTTGGGTCGTTTACCATTAACTTTTAGAAGCGATCTGAGTGTTATATCTTTTATAGTTATTCTTTGTAAACATTAGAAGTTTTGAGTCGTTTACCATTATCCTTTAGAAGCGATCTGAGTGTTATATCTTTTATAGCTATTTTTTGTAAACATTAGGAGTTTTGGGTCGTTTACCATTATCCTTTAGAAGCGATCTGAGTGTTGTGTAATTTGTAGCTATTCTTTGTAAACATTAGGAGTTTTGGGTCGTTTACCATTAACTTTTAGAAGCGCTTAGAGTGTTATATCTTTTATAGCTATTCTTTATAAATATTAGGAGTTTTGGGTCGTTTACCATTATCCTTTAGAAGCGATCTGAATGTTGTGTAACTTGTAGCTATTCTTTATAAACATTAGAAGTTTTGGGTCGTTTACCATTATCCTTTAGAAGCGATCTGAATGTTGTGTAACTTGTAGCTATTCTTTATAAACATTAGAAGTTTTGGGTCGTTTATCATTATTCTATGGAAGCACTTGGAAGTTGGGCCCTCTATGTACTTTTGTAACCGCTTAGTCGTGATCTTTCTAAGTTTTTATGATCCTACAAAGAAGTCCCCCAGTGGGTCAGCGGTAAGTTTTCGGGCTCATAATGCTGCGGTGGACAGAATTCAGAGAGTCCATTGTGTAGCTTTGCGCTAAAACAACAGTAGTCCTATAAAGAAACGTAAAATGACAAGCTTCTTGACGCACATATAAAACTTTTGGTTATTACATAGCATATGTACGTTACTAGCAATACACATCAGTGGTTGGATGTGCACCTCAAAAGAATATATGCAAGTACAGGGTTAAAACAATTAATGAAGGGATAGATTACAGGGTTAAAACAATTAATGAAGGGATAGATTACAGGGTTAAAACAATCAATGAAGGGATAGATTACAGGGTTAAAACAATCAATGAAGGGATAGATTGCAGGGTTAAAACAATTAATGAAGGGATAGATTGCAGGGTTAAAACAATCAATGAAGGGATAGATTACAGGGTTAAAACAATCAATGAAGGGATAGATTACAGGGTTAAAACAATCAATGAAGGGATAGATTGCAGGGTTAAAACAATTAATGAAGGGATAGATTACAGGGTTAAAACAATTAATGAAGGGATAGATTGCAGGGTTAAAACAATTAAGAAAGGGATAGATTACAGGGTTAAAGCAATTAAGAAAGGGATAGATTACAGGGTTAAAACAATCAATGAAGGGATAGATTGCAGGGTTAAAACAATCAATGAAGGGATAGATTGCAGGGTTAAAACAATTAAGAAAGGGAAAGATTAAAGGATAAACAAAAATAACACACAGCAATATCTCTAGGAAAATAAGTTCTTTTTTATATATTGAATGTTCGTTTTTAACAACTGGTTAATATCCAGAAACAAAATATATCTTCATTCAAAGCAACAGACAAACTAACAAACAATTAGCACGAATAGCTAGCCATAATAGAAACAATTAGCACGAATAGCTAGCCATAATAGAAACAATTAGCACGAATAGCTAGCCATAATAGAAACAATCAGCACGAATAACT